GAATGTTACTGTTCTGAACATGAGAACAGGGTTCAAATCTTACTAGGTTGATTTGCCAAGGTGACTTTTTGATAATATCGGCCCAAGATGTGGCATTGTTGGGAAGTGCTTGAAAACCACACCACAGGTCGACTCAAGACTTGTGAGTGAAAAGTTGGAAGATGAAACTGTTTGGAATCCATTCTAACAACAATGTAACATGGCTTCCCTCTGTCTTTTCTATAAATATTTTCATGGCAACTGCTATGACAAGCTTTTTTTTGCCCAAACTACATGAATTTAATCATACTACTAGATTGGCATCTAGGTCCCACCCTTTTACTGCTGAATAGCTAAATGCAACTGCAACATTTTCTTTTCTCACACTTCTTACCTGTTGACCTCCCTTCTTTTTATCTGCTTCCCTGATAACTACAATCTTCAAAAATTTAAATGTAATGTCAAATGCTATCTTCTTGAATCCCGTTCATCTTTTGTCCTTTCCTAATTCTCTGTATTCTCAGACTTTTCTTTCACTTTCAATCCCAGCAACCCCCTCTGGACTTGCCTGGGGCGGAATGATTAAAAAAAAAGATAGAGAATAAGAATAGAGGATAGAGGAAACAAAGTCTCAAGTCATTATGAACATAGATTTGAGCCCTGTTCACACTCTTCCAGCAACTGTAACTAAAGTCTGATCAGCATAGTTACAGTAAAAAAGCACATGTTGACCTTGTAGGTGTTGAACAAAAACAAATATTTGCAACAGGGATTAGCAACTAGCACTCTCTAGTAGACAGGCATACTCAGATACAAGTCTAGGCATACTTCTAAACATAAGCATACATTTAATATAACATTTACAATACATTGTGTGACCTATAAACTGTAGTTAAATGTGAGACTGAATATTTTTCATTCTTTTCTAATATACAGTGAAAATCAGTATAGTAGCTGACTGTCCCATTACTACAGACACAGCACAATGGGTGTGGATGGGTATTATATATATATATATATATATATATATATATATGTGTGTGTGTGTGTGTGTGTGTGTGTGTGTATTATATATAAGACATTTTTATGTTTAACATTCTTTTTTATAGATACAAGTATTTTAGTAAATGCTCTGTTTATTATAAACAGTATTAAATAACATTTACCGGCCTGAATTTTTGAGAAATTTTCATAGAAAATATTTGTCCTTTGACAGGATTCGAACCTGCATCCTATATGGAACCGTCATTTAGCTTGACGTGCCTAACCGCTCGGCCACAAAGGATCGTTCGATTGACAAGGTCGAATTTACTGCTTATGAACTTCAATCTTCCATGAATCTCTCACGTACATTCATGTCTGCTCATGACATATCAAATGTAAACAAATGACATCATACATTATGAAATGGACAAAGTCCGACAATTATTTAAAGACATTTTTATGTTTAAAGAATGTTAAACATAAAAATGTCTTTAAATAATTGTCGGACTTTGTCCATTTCATAATGTGTGTGTGTATATATATATATATATATATATGATTAATACAAATAAAATTTATCACTCAACTGAATGATTTTGTATTAAGCACCTCAACTTCAGAGTTTTATAGACAAACCTTTTTGTAATTATTTGATTCACACATCAATATATAAAACAAAAGGAAAATTTATCTAAACTGATGAGTTTCATGCCTTGTTGGACTTTACCAAGGCAAATGTAAGGATTTTATTTTGCAAAAAATATTCAAAATCTTTACATTTGCCTTGATAAAGCCTATCAGAGTGTCAGCCACGGTAAGTAAGTTTTCCTTTTGTCATTATTCATGTTGTCTTTTTATAGAAATAATTTTAGTTATATATGAATTTTTACACATAAAAAAAAAAAAAAAAAAAAAAAAAAAAAAAATCAGGCACCGAAACTTACCCTGGGAAATTAAATCCCCCTCCTTTCTAGACCCTGTATAATCAATAACATCTCACTCATGGTTCATGAATTCCAGAAACATTGCCAAATTGTCCTAAAATAATAAATATGTGGAGTATTTGTATGATTGAGTAACTGAAATATTTTTTTGGTCACTTGCCAAACATTCCCAGAATTCATATCTTGTTCATCTAAGCAAAGATGAGACACATTTTACTATTATATTTCAAATGTCATACTTAATTAAAATCCATGCTTTCCATTGAGGTCTTGAAATCCTTGCCAAATTTAATCTACTGTATAATCAAATATTGATTCCCAGATTGGTTTAATTGAAACAGCAGAGGTCTTGTAGCAGAGGCATGTGGTTTTATTGCAGGTGATGCCTCGATAACAGCCATTATAATCTTCATCCAGAAGAAAAATTAATCTCAGATACAGTCAGTTTTGACTGACAGCAAACAAGTCAATATAATTGTTAAATAAGTTACAGGAGAGAGTTGAACATTTCAGCATCTCTTTATATGTGATCTAAATTTATACTTCACTTTTTAAACATTTTCTAAAAACAGAAAATTCGTAATAAAAAGAATTCAAATGAAAGCTTCTATAAAGACAAATTTCTGACTGAGAATGGAAATCTTTCTGTGTGTGTCATGTTCCTTCTAGAAGCAGGTGATTGGTAGAGTTTTTTGTCTAGAAAATACAAATATCTAATACAAGACCTTAAAAATAGGACAATAAAACCTTATGGCCTAAAAGTCAGGACATAAAATGTGTGCAAAATTTTCCAAAACACCCATTTTTTAAATTATATATATATATATATATATATATATATATATATATATATATATATATATATTAGTGATTTTCTAAGCCCAGCTTAGATGTGGCACAAGGCCGAAAGTATGGGGCACCCAGTGAGGATTGAACTCACTACTCAGTCATAATTGATCTAGCAAGACAAGCTTTCTAACCATTACACCACGTCGAGGTGCCCATATATATCTCAGAATTTCCCCTACGCCCATGTTGACCTCTGTGACTGAAATGCTAAAAAGGCACGACAAAAATGCAGTTTGCAAGAATAGCAGGAAATCAGGTTCAATCATTTCCAACAGGTACATTTTCTTTGATAAGATTTCCAAAGAGACAGTCCAAGGTGTGAGCAACATATTGGAGACATCAGAATCAAGAAAGTATACAAGTTTAACTATCTGGGTAGTGGGTAGATGTGGCCAAGTGGTTAGGACGTTCACGTTCGGACAATAAGACCCAGGTTCAAATCTCACCATAGTTGATTTGTCGGGAAGGAGACTTACTGATGTTATCGGACTGGAGGGATTGATCCCAGTGTGTGGCACCCTTGGAAAGTGCCTGAAAACTATACCACATGTTGACCCAAGCCTTGTGAGTGAAATTGGGTAGATGGAACCCTTAGGTGCCATTGATAGCTGTGCTAGCACAAAGTCACAAGTCATCGTGGCTGAGGGCTTGAGCATGCTGACCTTGTTCAAATTGTTGATCATGCTAGATAACTTGCTCTTTCCCAGAAACTGTAACTAAGGTATGCTCAGTATAGTTGCAGTATAAACCACAGGTGGGTTCCGTGGGTGTTGAGCAAACACAAAACATCTCTAAGCGAGCGTCTGCAATAGAGATTGTCTAGTCACCCTAATAGACAGGTATCTTTGAATACAAGTGGCCAGCTATACATACATATATGGGTGGTTGCATAATAACCTACAAAATCACACAGAGATCCAAAGGCACATTGGAATATTGAAGAATGCCTTCTGGAATCTAAAGAAAGAAATTGTAAAGAAAGAGAGCTGAACCAATATGTAATACCAATCCTCCCATATGGCATTGAATGCTGGATAATTTCCTCACTGATGAAGATGAAACTTCAAGCAACATATATGGTCCAACAGAAAGAGGCTGAGAATACCATGGATGGGAAATGTTAGCAATGAGGAAGTTTTAAGAAAATGAGATTGACACTTGTACTTACAATCAGAAAGAGACAGTAGAAATTTCTGGGATAAATAAGAAAATCTTGGAGAATTTAGAAGATATAGAGCATATTGAAGGTAAGCTGGGTAGAAGAAAACACAGCTACTGAACAAGTTGATGTAAATGAATGGCAGAACAGAAACTGGAAGAAATGGTAAGTAGACAAATATTGCTACAAAGGATAGGAAGTTGTGAAGAGCCATGATCAGTCATGTTCTGACAGGACATAACATATAAATGAAGAATTAAATGAAAATATTAATAAGAACAAAAAATGAAAGCATTCATTCAAAAAGGTCAAAATGGAAAAAACAAAAAGGAACTTATTTCAGATTTTGCCAAATCTGATATGAACATTTAAAAATTAAGGTTTAATTAAAAAAAACATTCTTTCTCCACATGACAGACAGGTTTTAAACCCCCCAAATGAAATTGAAAGATGGGCGAGTCAAATAACTGGGGATTGTTCCCCTCCTTAATTCTTCTATCTCACCTTCCTACATTTTTAATATATTGATCCCTATCATTTGATACAAAACAGATCAGCAATGTCAACAGAAGCTTCAAAGTTCAAATCATTTGGATCATTTTTTAAAATCCTTTGGATCACTTTAAAAGAAAAAAAGAAAATTGGAAAACCACAAATATTGAGCCTGCAATGTAAGCTGTTAAAACCTTGCTTACAACGACTGCTTTTTCTCTCTTCATACCATTCATCATTGCTTGAGACAAGCTGAACATTTTGCAAAGAGATCAATACAAGATTATTGCTGTAGTCATCCAATGAGTATGAGACTCAAAATATTAAGCAAGAAAAAAATCTATTTGCAACTCGTTAATTTAAAACCCAATTCTCTAAATTTAGTGAATCATGTAGGCATGTCAAATAGCTATCAAAAATTTGGGTTTTCATGACAGAACATCAAAGAAATTCTACATCTGATAAACATTGTTTTTTCATTTTTTTTCTTAAGTACATGTACAGTCAAGATGAAACCCAATGAGTTCTGTGTCTAGCTAAAGACAATTCCTATACCAACAAATTTAAAAATCAACGTTTTTTGACTACTTGGCTTACGACCATATCACATTGAAACACTGGTTCTTGTATGATCACCGAAGTTAAGCAACATTGTTCCTGGTCAATACCTATATGGGTGACCACTTGGAATTACCAGGTGCTATAAGCTGAGATGTGCGGGCAGTGTTATGGATAACGGTTCAGGATTGGAAATTGTTCCAATCACAGTCTAGTTCGTACATTCACTTATGTGCAAATACCCTTGGGAAAGGCATGAACCCACTTCTTTGTCCACTGATATTGGTTAATTAATAGGACTTATATCAATAAATAATTATCTCCCAAAAAATCTTGCAATCTAAAAATATTTTCTGGATTTAAGTAACCTGTAAGTGGTTGATAAGCCATGAAAAACAAAATTAATCTTTTTATAAATATACTAATCTTCTCATGCCACAAAAACAATGGCCTGTTTTGTTAACTCTTGATTATTATTATATTTTCACATATAAACCTTTAAATATGATTAACCTGTTAATGTATTCCACTTTCAGTAGTTAATTTTTTCTTTTCACCTCCCAGCTTTATAAGCATCTTGGAAAATTTTGAATTGTCATTTGAAGATACTGCCACCTGGAATTGCTAGTGCAAGAGAGAAAGCTCACATACAACAAAGTGTTAGACATCACAGACCAAATTAATATTTTCGGTGTGTACACATACAATATATATTTTATAAAAGAGTGGGCACTGAGGTCAACACAAAGCGGCATCAGTCCATTTCATGCTTGAAGGCAATCTTCAGGCCATGAATATTGCATTCAAGCATGAAACAGGCTGTTGACTGCAATGTCTACTCTTACATTTACATATGCTCTATCCCTGGTATTGAGCACTTTTACTCATATAGCATACCTTAAAACTAGATTTTTTATCATATAGATGTATATGTAGAGAGAGAGAGAGAGAGAGAGAGATATAGAACTAATACAAATAAAATTTGTCACTTAGCTAATTGATGTTTTATTCCTTACCTCAACTCTGGAGTTACTTAGACAAACCTTTTTGTAATTGTTCTGTCCACTCATCAGGAGGTTTCAGCAAGTCACTGCAGATTTTCTCATTTTCATACTAAGTTAAAAATCAATTTATGAGCCACTTATTAGTGTTAGGTTGTATTTTATATATATATATATATATATATATATATATATGGGGAGGAAGTGTGAATTTGTAAACAGTGACTATTACGGCTAATAATCAAATAAAGTTCTCTCAGTCACTGTGTGTTTATCTAAAAATAAATATGCTTAAATTCACCTTCATCCCTGCCGTGATAGAATCCCCGACTGATGCCAATTCAGTCGGGTTTCAATCCCAGTTAGAGGCAACCGGACGTCTAGCCACACTGATGAGCTGTGATACAGTGAAACTGTCTGTTGATGACATATTATATATATATATATATATATATATATATATATATATATATATATATATATATATATATATATATATATATATTTGAGAGAGAGATGTATTCAAAACATATAGAGATATGTGTATCTAAAATTTGATATAATTATGAAGAAAATACTCACCATTGGGGATTTGTTCACTTGTTACTGACATGCCACAATTGCTAAAGGAGGATAGCATGGAAAGAAACACACATCACTCTCTCATTACTAGCTTGCATGCCTATCAAGAAATGTAAAGAGCTGTTACCCACATTGTCAACCTTCACAGGATCCTATCATTTTCATTTCTTTTTAGCTAATAGCAGAAATTACTTAGGAAATCTTTTTGCTTTTAAAAAACCCAAATAATTTGCAGTATCATTAAGACTAAGGGAAACAAAAGAATGGATCTGTAGCCTGACAGAAGGTGAATTTTGATTTGAAATATTTAGACCGAGCTATATGACCAATGGAAAAACACTGGATTAAGTGCGTTAACAAGGAAGGAGATTATATTAAAAAGATAATCTGGTGGCTCATCTTCAGCCACTTTTCCATTGCCATACGTCTGCCTTTTTGTGCTTTTTCTATAAATACTTTCATGATAATTGTTCAGATGAGCTCTTTGCTATGGTACCTAGACATCATGAATTTAAACACAGTACTAGACTAGTGGCAAGATCTCAGTTTACAGTTTAGCTGGCTAGATGTAACCATAACTTCTATGCTAAAAGTTTATTTTCTCACACTTCTTACCTGTGGAACTCCCTTCCAGCTCCATTCTTTTCAGTAAACTTTAATCTGCAACTATTTAAATGCAATGTCAATCATTATTGACTGTCCTCCTGATTACTGTTTCCTCTTCCTGCTCATTATTAAATGTTTTCTATGTACCATGTCCTTTCAGGATGTAAGCGATCATGGCTCTCCACCTCTCTCTATCCCTTGCAGCTCCCAACAAGTTCCTTCCTTCTTCCACCCCTACTCACAGACCACGTTCTGCCATCCACTTGCTTAAAGCTACTAGGTATGTCAGGCATTGTTTTCCCTATTCTCTCTTTTCGACCCATGAGTATCAGATTCTCCAGGCCCTCCTTCCTCATTATGTGTCCCAGGAACTTCAGCTGCCACTTCCTGATGTTAAGTATAAGCCTCCTCCTTGCTTGCATCCTCTCGTTGATCACATGCTCAGTCCATGATATAATTCTTCCACACTCTGTAACCCCTTCTTTCTTAGTATGTGCTGTATAAATTACTTTTTTTTAATCATTGTTAGGCTACAAACATATTGATGTACCTACACAACAGGATTATTTCAGATCATTGGGTACGGAGCTTACAACAGTTAGGGAGGTACGGATCAATCAAGTTTTCATCTTGTGTATACCTTCATCAAGAAGAGGGAAATCTATAAGCATTGCTTGATTAAATCTATCCTGCAACACTAAATAAATAAGAGTTGTCATTTATTGAAATTGTAGGCTTTTTCATTTACTTAGATTACATATAATCATAAGAAAGGTTTTAACAAATAAAATTACATGACAAATACAGTCGTGCAGATGATCAGCGAGAAACATGATCAGTGTAATGGTTTTGCTTAAAATCATTTTAAGCCTGGCTTAAGAGAATATAAAGCCCAACATTAGATGAGCCATAAGCAAAGGAAGAAGAAAGAGGAGACGAAAGGGAAAGAATCAATATTAAAAACAAATGAAATTAGATTTAAGCAAAGAGATGGGCTATTATAAAATAATGGAGAAAGAAAATGACCATTGCTTGCAAGAGAAAAGACATTGCATTAAATAAAAAATAAAATATATAGTAACAGTAGTCAGCCTTCATACCCTTCTTGATATTATAAATATCTGCAAAATTATTAATTTTACAAGTATGAATTTAAGCACAGTAGTATATTGGTAGCTAGGGCTAATCATTTTACAGTTGACTAAATGTAAATGCAAGTTCCATGTTAACAGTTTCTTTTATCACACTCCTCACTGGGGAACTCTTTCAGCTCCTTGCTTTCCAGTCAACTTTGATCTTCAAAAATTTAAATACAATGTCAAACGTTTTCTTCCGTCTTCTTAATTCTTCTTCTTTTATTACTTTCTCTTCTTAATAGTATTTTTTCTTATATTATCTAATACTCAGTAACCTCTTGTGTATTATTGGCTTTATTGCCTTATTTGGAGTAAAGTGATTCAAGGAAAACAAAAAGTGAAACACCAAATAAGCAACATGGATTTATTAGGAGTTGCTTAAATGCTAAAAATATTTTTAATGTACATAGTTACCAGCCCAATCACTAAATGAAAATCCCAAATTTCTCAAAAAAATTCTATTAGAATTCACTGATTTTAGAAAACTGCATAAAAAATACTAATAAATATACAGCTTTTCTGGAATACAGCTAAAAAGTTGTATTCACAAAGAAACACACATTGTACAGAGTGGTCCGAAAGTCTTGTCACCCCCTATCAAAAAGGGATGAGAACAATAGAACAATACAGTAATACAAAGCACATGTACTAGCTTCAGTTTATTCACTTTTATTGACACACCATCACACATTGGGGAGGTCTGTATGAACACCATTTTCGTGTCAGCCATCTGAAATAGAAAATTATATCATGTAGGGGGTGACAATACTTTCGGACCACCCTGTAGAATATAAACTAACTTACACTATTTATATTCAGACTACTGTCCTCATCTTTGTTGTTGTAATCACGTTTTAGCCATTGTACTCTCCAGCCTTTCTCAGGTGTATATCGATCTGGGTAATTTACAGGGAGTCCTGAACTCAACCCTTTATTTGTAGACGGTTCTTGTTCCACTGCCAACACTCGTAGATTAAATAAAGGGTTTAGTTCAGAATTTCCTTCACATTCAAAATGGAACATTAAGAGAAGCTTTAGTGACATCAGCAAAGAAGATCATTTGTAAGAAAATTAGATGAGGAAAAATGGAGTGAATGACAGATGAAATTCTCAGCATGATGAAAAGGAGACTGCAAACGATAATGCCAAGGTATTGTACAAAATATAGTACATTTCAAAGAAATTAAAAACAAATGCAAGTAGGCAAAAAAGGTATGACTCAATGAAAAGTGTGCAGAAATAGAGAGTATCATAAGTAAGGCATAAAAGAAATAACAGGACAAAAGACATGCTCATCAACAGGATGCATAAAAATCAAAAAGAAAAGGAACACTGATGAGAAGAAAGAAAAAGAAAAAACATACTTCAAAGAAGACATGAATATATTGAGCGAAAATATAGAATGAAAGAGGAAAAGCTGCAATACACAAAAATATGGAAATAACAGAAATGTTAAAATCTTAATTGTAATCAGCAATGGGCATATTGAATGCAAACAAAGTAGCAGGACCAGATGGGATTGTAACAGAGATGCAGACAGACGTAGATGATTTCAACATAGGCAAAATGAACGAAATAATAAATGAAATCTACAACAGTGATGAAATACCAGAAGACATTAGTAGATCAATCTTTAACAGCACTGACAAAGAAGCCTGGTGCAAATGAATGCAAGCTCCACTGGACAATCAGTTTAATGAGCCAGATGACTAAACTTATCATGAATAGAGCACATAACAGAATTAGACCCGGAATAAGACAAGAACAATGGGGTTTTGTTAAAGACACTAGGACAAGAAATGCAATATTTATGATCAGAATG